GGCCCACGTGTTCCCAACGATTCGAATGACAAGCGCTCTATCACGGCTGTCTTTGGGAATTTGGATGGGTTTACCATGACCAACACGGCATCCGAATGGATACGGGACCAACTATCGCAATGTGGCGGACCCCTCCCCCATAACATGTACATGAAGGGGGTTTGCGGAGTTCTCGGACACGACGGAGCGGGACACAGCAGTTGCCCTTATTGGGAGCTCGCGCCTTCAACGTAATGGTAAAGATATTTGGGCTTCGCCCGATAGGCCGCCAGTGGAGCGCGCGGCACGGAACTACTGCTTTGGACTGAAATACTTGTTGAAGGACACGTTCGAGCTCCCTTACATCATCAGGATCACGGACGCCTCCCCGTAGGAAGTCCGCGTGGGTGGAAAACTCGCTCTCACGGTAACGGTAGACGGCAACAACATGAAGAAGGATTGGACTGACACATGGGCCAACTGGAAAGAACTCCACATGCACGATGGTCTGAAGGCTTTGGAAGATAAGTGTACTTCTTTGGCAAACCGGGCCATGGACGGCATGAAGGGCAAGTCCAAAGGGAAATAGGAAATGAGGCATTTGTCAGGTATAGTCCAACCTGACACTGGAGCCGATTTTGTTGGACTTCATTTTCTTTCGCATGCTATTCTCAGCACTGGGCGTATCCTGGACAAAGATACCGATATTCCCGTATCTGCGGAATCGCGCACATTTTCTGCAGCGGGCATGAGCAAAGATACCAGACCGCAGCACCAACATCAAATTTCAGATGTACACTCTTCCCCATCTTCTTCTACTCCTCCGGCTCCTTGTACATCTTCTTCTTCTTCTCCGCCTCCTCGGGCCCCCCGACGTGTCAAGACACATTGACGCAGTCTTGCAGGTCGCTGCACACATGGCTTCGGCCGCGACGAGAATGTGAACCACTTGGCACGCAGAATCTTGGCACTTGGAATGCTGAAGGCCTCCGCGGGGAGTCATATGCCAAACTGTCAGAGAGCATTGTGTCAATGGCTGCTCAGCGCCTCGACGCCGTGGCCACACAGGCGGCTCAGCTACAGGGTTCTGACTACTACGATTATGATGGTTTCATGCTTTGCGTTTCTGGAGAGCCTGCCCTTGCTCAACGCTCGGTGGCTGGGGTAGGCTTTCTCGTGACTCCGTGGGCCCGCTCTGCCACAGTAGCGTGCCGGGCGACTTCGTCGCTTGTGGCATCATTACGAATCAGAGTACTACACGGTGCATTGACGGTCTTATCCGCTTACGCCCCGCAGAGCGGGTACGATTACGAAGTCCGCCAAGCCTTCTTCGCTGACCTATGGGACACAGTACGGCCGACTACACCGCATAGCAATATGTTTATACTTTGCGACTTCAACGAGAAGCTATTGCAGCAACATCCCGGCGAAGCAGAATATATATATATATATATATATATATATATATATATATGTGTACGCATTTTTTCAATATGATGTTCTTCAGAGTTCTGTACATCGGGAACAGATATCAAGCTGGCAACTTCTACTTGAACATTGTGTCGCTACGGACATCGTCATTGCAAATACGTTTTTCGACATTCGTCCTGAACAGCAGGTCACGTACAGAAATCTTGGTGTGGCCCCCATGGACAGCGACATCTCGCTGACAAAGTTCGCTCACATCGACCATGTGCTGTGTCATGCCTCTCTTCTTCCTTGTGTGAAGCTCTACAGCACGCACCGGGCCGAGGCATTGAACAACCACCACTACTTGATGACGGTGAAACTTGGGATGAAATTTCAGACGAAACCCGTTCATGTGCAGACTAATGTGGACAAAGCTTCGGTGCGGGAGCCGGCCTTGCAGGTCGATTTCACGAACCGTTTTCGCAGTAAGTTGGAGGACATTCACGCTGCAAATTGCTCTCTTGACGAAGCTGCGGTGGACGTCGAAGCTGCTTTTGACGCTGCGACAAATACTCTGCGACGCAGGCCGCAACCTGCCCGGCGACATTGGATTTCTCAGGCCACTTTGGACCTTATCGAACAAAAAAACGTACACAGGCGAATGGGCTATGTTTGTAACGAGAACGCGCTTCATAAGGCTATCCGGAAGGCTGCGTGGGCAGACCGCACAAAGTGGATAAACGATACGCTCATTGGGGGAAGCTGGGGCGCAGTCAAGCAATTGAGGAAAAAAGCTCAAACCAAACACGCTGGAGTCAGAGATATGAGTAACAATCTTACCGATACCGCACATCGCCCTGAAGCTTTGGCCGACTACTTCGAAAAGGTTCAGTGGAAAGTCACGTTCCCAGAGGTGGTTCCCACAGCTACGCGCCCTCTTGGACCAGAGCTCCCCGTCGACGTCCGACAGTGTTCTACGAATGAGTTGCTTTACGTTCTGAAGAGGATGAAGACTGGTAAAGCATCTGGGCCGGATGATGTGCCTCTGGATTTTTGGAAAGTTGCGTCTAAAGATGAAAACGCATGTCAAGCACTCCTGGAGGTATGTCAAAGATGCTGGACAGAACAAGACATACCAGACACATGGAGAATGGCAAACGTGGTTGTACTGTTCAAAAAAGGAGGCACGACTTTACCGAGCAACTATCGTCCGATTTCGCTGCTCTCGGTGGGGTACAAAGCTCTGGCGGCTATGCTACACCAGCGATTGTTTCAAGGTGGCGCGGAAGATCGATTACGAGACTCACAATTTGGATTCAGACCTGGCTGGGGGACCGCTGACGCGCTCGTGTTGGTGAGACGCATGATCGACGCAGCGCTCTTGAACAACAGTGGCTGTATTGTTTTGCTTCTATTGGACTGGGCAAAGGCATTTGACCGTCTAAAGAAAGATTGTCTGTGCGATGCTTTGTCTCGGTTTGGGCTGCCGCGTCCCTTCGTGCAAATGATCAATGGGATTTGCTCGCGTCGTTATTTCACCATCGTTGACCACTGCGGCACATCTTCACGACGACGACAAGCGGCAGGCATCGCCCAGGGATGTCCTTTATCCCCGCATTTGTTCATTATTGTGCAAGCGGTAATGTTCTACGACGCTTTCTCTGACCTACGCCTTCAGCAAGATCCGGACTATGTGGTCACCAGGGATATCCTATACGCCGACGATAATGCACTTGTTTCACAACACGGTGGGAATCTACAGCGCACGTTGGACGCCACCGTGTTGGAAGGACAGAAATACGGATTAGAATTGAACTGGGACAAGACAGTACAAATCCAAATCGGATCTACAAGTTTGGTTGGAAACCAGACGGAAGCCCAATCAAAATAGTGCAGGAAACCATATATTTTGGGGGCCTTGTCACTCATAATGGACGAGTGGGTAACGAATTATCCAGACGCTTGGGAGAGGCCGGAGGAGCATTTCAGCAGCTATCTAAATTGTGGACACATTCTGCCGTTGGGTGGCGGCGCAGAGTACTCATTTATAGCAGCTGTGTGCTCAGCAAGCTGCTGTACTCATTGGACTCGCCGTGGCTCCTGAAGCATGACGTGAACAAGCTCGACGCATTCCATTGCAAATGTCTGCGCCGAATCTTGCGGATTCCCCACTCTTGCATATCGCACGTCAGCAACGAGACGGTGTTGGCAATCGCAGAATCGAAACCATTCTCTTCAATATTACGTAAGTGATGCTCTACAGGAAGATTGCTTCTGAGACCGACAGGTCGCTTGTGAGGAGACTTGTGACTTGTGTGCAACGGCGACGGCACTCCCAGAAACTGGGCGAGCCGCAGGCGCCAGGGGCGCCCCAGACAACAATGGGCAGCTTGTGCTTACGCCGCGTCATAAGTGCATGCATGCTTGTATGGGCACGCTGCTTTTTTGATTTTTTGATTTTGCCTACGCGTTCGTAAGGGATGCAAGGCCGCAGTCAGTCAGTCCTCACACGCTTCGTGGCCCATAGGGGGCCTCACCAAGAGTCTCAGAGACAAGGTATTTTGCAGCGTCTCCAAGCCAAATTCGGCACGCCCCTCACACGTTTCATGACCCCACAGAGAGCACCACCGAAGGCTTCAGCGACATGGTATCGCATACCAGCACGCACGTCACACGTTTCGTGGCCCCACGCGGAGCTCCAACGAAAGCTTCAGCGGCAAGGTATTGCATAGCTTCCCCCCGTACATCAGCACACACCCCTCACACGTTTCGTGGCCCGATAGAGAGCTCCACCCGGGGCCCCAGCGACAGGGTATCGCATACGGCCCATCCGCCTATTTCGGCACAGCCTTCACACGGTTCGTGGCCCATACGGAGCTCCACCGAAGCTTCTGCGGCAAGGTCTTGCATCGCGTCCCCTGCTCACTTCGGCGCACCCCTTAGCCCCATTGGGAGCCCCACCAAAGGCCCCAGCGGCGGGGTATCGCATGCGGCCCTCCCCCGCCCATTCCGGCACACCCCTCGCGTTTGTGGCCACACAAGGAGCTCCACCGTAAGCTTCAGCGGCAAGGTTTTACATGCGGTAACCATTACCAATTTCGGCACGCCAATCACACGCTTACTGGCCCCACACTGAACTCCAACAGAAGCTTCGGGGGCAAGGCATTGCATAGAGTCCCCCCGCCCATTTCTGCACACGCACACACACACCACGCGCTTCGTGGCTCCATAAGGAGCTCCACAGGAGTCCACAAGCCAATTAGGCACACCCCTCGCAAGCTTCGTGGCTCCACAGGGAGTTCCAACAAAGGCCCCAGCGGGAAGGCATCGCAGAGCGTCCTCCCCTTCATTCTGGCACACCCTCAACACCCTCACACGCACCGTGGCCCCATAGGGAGCTCCAACGAAGGCTTCGATGGCAGGGTATCGCATGCGATCCTCTCGCTCACTTCGGCACGCCTCTCACACGTTTCGCGCCACACGGGGGGGCTCCCCTCCCCCGATAGCTTCAGCGGCAAGGTCTTGCATGCGGTCCCCCGGCCCATTCCGGCACACCCCCAAGACTCAGCGCTGCACTGGCACGGCGGCGGTGTCTGCCGCAGGCAGCTGCATTAGGACAGGAGGCAGTCGCAGTACTCGACGGCGGTCGACGACTCAGAGAGGCAGGCCGCAGTTGGTGCCTCCCAGGGTTTCCGGCTGCCCTCACTCTCGACACTGCCGTGGCCGCGAGCATCCCGCCCGTGCTCCGGCGGGCCAACCTGGAAGTCCTTGACCAGCCCCGGGGACAGCAGCGACCCGCGGGACTGCGGGCCCGCCTGCGGGGCAAGTCTTCGACGTGAGCTCTCGAGCGACGAGGAGGGACGGATCGCACGCACCGTGGCACAGCGGCCTTGCCCCGCGGCTGACGCAAGCCGCCAGCGCGGCGCGCCACACTGGAAACGAGGGCGCTCGCGCGCGATCTTGCGCCGGGCAACTTGCGCGCCAACGTCGGCGAAGACGACGACCCGTTTTTCTGCGTCGCCCTGTGGAGGCAACGTTCGCCGACGAAGGGGGAGGAAGGGGAGCAGAGAGAGAAGCAATACAACACGCGGCCTTGCCGATGTGGCGCCTCCGTACGCGAGGCGCCGCGTGGAGTGTCCTCATCAGGTCCCCGCGAGCTCCCTGCAATGAGCACGGCGAGGGCATTCGATAAGGAACCGCTGAACAAATAATCCAGGGTCTGGAAGCCACTTTAAACTCCAATCTGGAACCCCAGGCGTGGAGTAGCCCTGGACGTCACCGCCGCCCCCATCAGGTAAGGAATCCTCCAGGGTCTGAAGCCCCCCGGGCACGTTCCTTAACGAACACCCCCACCGCAGTGTAAATGCTCTCTGGCAAAGGAGGAAGCACTGACATGCACACGAACTTCTGGGGGGTCTTCGCGGACTTCTTGCATCCGCGCTGGGTGGTGCCCATCCCTGGTGCGCTGAATGCGCCAGGGGCGGCGGGGGTCCCAGCGCAGATTCAAGAGAAACCTCCACGGAGCTCCGAAGGCTTACCTGATGCTGTTTTGTGTTACTCTTCGACGAGTAGAAGGCAACAAATCCACCCCCAGAATGACCACCCCGACAAACGAGGCCTTTTAGTAAACGCACCCAGAGAAGAAATCGAACAGGGCAGGGCAGTTTAGTAAACGTTAGTAAACGCCCAAGGTCGTTGATCAAACGCCAATTATCGGGTCTGGGTGGCCCTTCCTCCCCTGAGTGAAAGCTCCGTCAGTGGGTCCAGGCCCCGTGCTCGGGAAACTCCCGGGCACTCCGCGAATCCCTCGCGAGTTCTCCAGAGATCTCGGGACCGTGACCGCCTTGTCTCAACCTCCAACGTGCTCTACAGCGGCCCCAGGAGACCGTCCTGGGGCGATCTTGGGGCCACTTGGGCCGTCTTGAAGCCCTTGAAGTATGGCCCAAGAGGCCAATATCATTGAACCACCTCACGAGGCCATCGCTTTCGGGAAAGAAACGCCCAACAACTAGGTTCTACCATCCCCCCCCCCGGACTGATCGACTCTCCGAGAACCTATACAAAACATATGATCCTGACCCAATATCCATCGCACCTGTGAATTTATACTATCCCAACCAGGCTGGTATCGGCCCCCCTCGGTTCCCTTCCAATGAAATACTATGCGCGCGCATTCGTTTAATCTAAAACATAAATTTCCAATAATCCCTTGCAACAGAGGGGACGAAGTGCGCACGAGCGCGTCGGCGCGCGCGCATGCCGAAATCCTTAAAAAATCCTCGGGCACGGAAGCACTATCAGAGTCGAGCGTCCGAACATATTATACGATTTTTGTTTCCCAAAAAACATATGAAACGCAACGCGGAATTTCAAAACAAACGTTCGCGCGCCTGTGCGAATTCTAAAGCCACAAATTTGTGCAACATGTTCATAACATGCGACCAAACGGGCTTCGCGCGCATGTCGAAATCGTTCGAACGCCCTTGCGCGCGTGCTGCGGTGGCACGATCCGTGCCAAATAATACCATGCGAGCCACTCTCGCGCGTCTGCCGCGCGCGCATGTCGAATTCCTTCGAAAACATTCATCACAGACGCGAAGACGCCGTCATCGTCGCCGGCGTGATCAGCATCGGCGCCGTCACTGGCTCCCCCGTCGTCGCTGTCAGCATCCTCACCGACACCGCTACTATCATCATCGTGTTTACCGTTGTCGACGTTGCCATGATATCGCGCCCGCCCAAGTCGCCGACTCGCAGTGGAATGCCCGCTGGGATGTGCCGAGCAATCAGCGCCACCGCGTTCGCGTCGGTCGCGCCAAACTAGCTGGCCGCTGCGCGCGCGAGCATGCGCGGGCTAGCGCGGCCGCAGAGGTGCACCAGCCAACACCCAGCACTCATCGCAATCATTCCCGCATGGATTTGGCAAACCACGTTGCGGGCGGGCAGGTGAGATGATTGCGCGAGCAGTGGAGTTGACAACTTCAAGTTCGGCAAGAAAATTGCACCACGTAGCTTGCGCCACATAGCTTGCACTACATGTATTCTCCAAACAAACGAATTTGGACCCCCCCCCCCCTCGGGGGTTATCGGCTCCCCGCGGGGGGGTGCAAATTACGTGTGGTTCTGCGTCATCGCTCATTCGAAATATCAATTCACACCATCGCAACCAAACCGCGTCGCCCCCCTTCATCCTCGTCAAATGATGTTACGAGCGCGCGCTCAAGGATCAAATAACATCCACTTGCGGAGTCCCTTACACAAGAAAGACCACACGGGCGCGCTGTCGCGCGCGCATTCTGAACTCCTTCAAAGACCGGAGGTTCCTTCGGGATTTCAAATTCGAGTGACCCGAAAACATGATTGTTGGGAACAATTTGGTTTCGCAGCGTGGTTGTTACCAAAAAATATGCGCGCGCGTGCTCTTGCGAATTATCAAGACACCATATGTGTTGCCTCATGCTCATCGGATGCGACCGAGGGGGCCTCTCGCGCGCGCATGTAGAAAGCCTTCCAACGCGGCTAGGAAAGAATTCGACGCGCGCGCGGCCGACGGGCGCGAGTGGCCCGCGCGGCTTGGGTCGGGCGCGCATCGCGTCGCAAGTCGCGATCGCGGGTCATGGGCGAAGCTGGCGGTTTGCGGGTCGTTGGTCAGAACGGCGCCTTCGCCGTCGCTTTGGCCGCATGGGTCGCGCGAGCCGCCCTCCTCCCCCCCCCCTCCCACGAGGGCACTTGCGCGCCCGCCTGGCCGCCCTAAAACGAGGCTGCACTGGGGCTGCGGCGCGCCCTCGCGCGCCCCGGCGCGCCCGGGGCCGCGGCGGCCGCGGGCGCGGCGGAGCTGGGGCGCAAGGCGAAGCTCCCCGACGGGGTCATCTCCGCCTCGAGCGCCGAGTTGACGCCCCTCGGCGCTGCCCGCGCGGCCGAGCTCGACGCAGGGGGCCGGGGGGGCCACGGCGGCGCTCCGGGGCCCGCAGAGGCTCGAGCAGCGCCGCCCAGTCTTGGCGGTGCTGCCCACGTAGAGCGACAGCCCTGCAATGTAGTTCGAGCAAAGGCGAACTGGAATTGGAATTGGCTTCAACCGAACATTTCGCAAGGTGTTGGCGGAAAAAATGAGATCGATGGCGCTTTTACATCTGCCAGTCAGACGAACGCTGCCACTCTCACTCCACAAACTGCTTCCAAAACTGGCACTGGCGTCGCTCCACCGTGCAACAACAACAATAATTTTAAGACCGTTCGCCCTTATATGCTCGAGTGTCCAATAACGCGAATTTCCCAAACCCTCGATACCCGCCCTCTTCGTCTTCGATCGAACCCCTTTTGGGGGGTATACCTTTTTTCCCTGCAAGCCGGGCCCCGGCAAGCGGCGGGGCGGCCGCAGACCGTCGGCCTGGCCAGCGGCAGCGCTGATCGCCAGGGCGGCCGCGGACCGTCGACCCGACCCCAAGAGGGACGGACAGGGGACCGACCACGACGACGACGACGACGACGACGACGACGACGACGACGTCGAAGACGACGGCGACGACGACGACGGCGACGACGAGCGAAAGCGAGAGCGAGAGAGAACGACAGCAGGGCCACGAAAGGCACGAAGTAGGCCACGAAGGGCGACAGCGGGGACACGAAGGGAATGCGTATGGGGCCACGAAGAGCGCGAACGAGCCGAGCGGGGGCCACGAAGTGCAGATAATTCGGGGCCACAGAAGGCAACTATGGGGCCACTGAAGGTAGCAACTGGGCCACGTAGGACAATGCGGGGGACTCAAATGGCGACAGCGGGGCCACGAAGGGCATGCATATGGGGCCACAACGGGCGCGGCTCTTGGGTGCCTGGGTGTCGGGAGCGCGGCGCTTGGGCAAATTGCAAGAAATCCCAACGCAAGGCCATTCTTCAGTAAGTTGCAAGCAAGTCTCCAGCGAAAGCGCGACTCCACAGCGCCAGGAGAGCGATTCCTGAATAAATTGTAAGAAATTCCCAAGCGAGAGCGCGATTCCTGAATAAAATGCGAGGAAGTCTCGGGCGGGAGCGGGGGTCCTGGCTAAATTGTAAGGAAGTCTCAGGCGGGAGCCGTTGTTGTTGTTGTAACCCGGGGGCCAGGGGCCTAGTTTGAGCATCAAGACTTTCCCTGTCAAAAACAAGGTGCGAGCGTCGAAGGGCACACTTTGATTAAGAAAAACAATATGCACCAGTGGCGGGGATCAGCAATAATTATTCTTCAGAAGTGAGAATTCAACGACAACAAACCAGCGACGCCCCCTGGCGCCGGTATGCACGGAGCGATAGAGCTTGCTTACTCCGTGTATCCGATACACGAAATAGCAAGCGCCAATTGCTCCGTATACACGGAACAGTAGGCCGCCACTACTCCGCGCATCCGACGCGCGGAATACACAACTGGGAGAACAAGTTATTACAACAGCAACAAGACGATCACCTTGAATTGTCCAGAGACGGCAACGTCCAAAGAGCATCATTAAGTGAGACTCGCCTTTCAATGTTGGCAGCGTGCGCAGGCGCGACCTATGGGCCAGCTCATCGATATGCTTTGATTTGGTTTGCGCGCCCGGTGGCAGCATTGGGAGGCGGATGCCATTTAATGCTCGGGTGCTCTTCCAAGTTCATCCTTCACAGGGCCGCCAGCGTGGGCGGTCCCACGTGTTGCCTTGCGGCTTCGTTCCCACAGTCGGATGGCCAACGTGCGCAACTTAATGCAGACGAAACGCTCTTCCGTAACATTCACGGGCGGATGTCGCTTGATGCGACGGGTCCCGCCTGGTCCGATTCAACATCGTTTTGGTTTCCACCCCTGTGCCA